GGCCGCGGGCATGCACGGCTTTCTGCTGCGGGCTGCGGGGCAGGGCGAGGAGCCGGCGGTGCCCCCTGAGCACGTCCTGCCCACACTCAGCCACCTCCTGGCGCTGATCGAGAAGGGGTAGCTGCGTTTCGGGGGGTGAACTGGTCCTGGGGGGGATTTCTCACCACCAGCTGGGCAGGGAAGAGCAGCAGGCGGTTCCCAGCGCAGGGAGCAGTGCTGACCGCGGAGCGGGAGGGGGGTTAATGCAATAAAATCTCGATGCTCACATTGCTGCTGACATCCTTCACGGCTCTCAGACACTACAGAGGAGCAGTCACGGCGGCGCCTTCCCCCAGCAGAGCAGGGCACTGGGTCGGGCTGCGCTCCAGAAGGCTCCTTTGGGGCAGGGGGCAGACGGCACCCCCTCTTCCCAACAGCAGTAGCTGGGAAGCAGTCGCAGCCCTCCTGCTGCCGGCAAAGCAGTCTGGAGTTGGGGAATTTCACTTGATGTATCGCCAACGAACATAAACTTTGCATTGCTGGTTTGGGTATTGAGAAATAAAGATAACAAATTTTAAATAGTTAGGGAAACACCTTTCCTGCCCTTCTTCCTGGTTCAACTTCAGTCAGCAGCTCTCCTTCCTCCCTGGTCCTCAGCTCCCTGTGTCTGCCACCTCACCTCAACCCCCCACTTCCTTTGGCGAGGTGAGGAGCAGCTCACGTTCCGTTTCTTTCTGCCGCTCCTCGCTTGTTACTCTGCTCTGACGTGGGCTCCTCTGGGGGCCGCAGCCCCTCGGGGTGCCCCTGCCCTGGTGTGGGTCCCCCATGGGTGACAGCCCCCCGCGCTGTCCCTGCTCTGGCATGGGTCTGCTCCTCCCAAAAACGTGTGTCCAGCTGTGTCCCTTCCCGCGTGCCTCCCCCCTGCCCTTGCTCCAACCACATCTCTTAAGATTTCTCCTGTTTTCTAAAGCCCACCGTCGGGCTGGAAAGCTGCCCTTGTTTGGGGAGGAATTCAATGATTCACCTATAAGCGGCTGGCCAAGCAAGGGGTCACACCGCA